AACTGCCAAAGGGCAGTGTCTTATGCACTGAAAATTTGTCCTTTCTGGTCCGACAAGATAAAACATACTATTTAAGAGTGGTCTAAAGGTTAATTTGTCAAAGTTCAGTTACGTAATCAAATTATATTTTTCCTATTTTGTCCCTTCACTAACGGTTGTTCTCTGTGTTAAGAAGATGAATATATTGGGGGGAGAATTGTAATTAAAATAAAAGGATAAATTGATAAAAGTAGTGCGCGAATTATCTAAAATTTCAACCGATGAGAATTACTATGAAACTACCCATGTATGTTCTACAATCGTAAAGTTCTAAATAATTTTAAAAATATCTATGACGTTAAAATTCTAAGAGTTTGAATACGAATGGTGGAACATTCATTTATTGTTATTTTATTATTATTTCTTAATACAAATCATTGTTATCAATCTTAAAGTGTTTTATTCAAAATATTTGAAACTTAATTAGATACATATTTGACCTAGTCGTTATTAATGATAAAAGCTTATATAAATGAATTACAATGCATGCTATTCATTTATTAGTCCGGTGCATATAGAGTGTGTGTAATTTTATTCCATTACCAAACTAGAGGTTTTAGGCTTTTAGCATATCTTTCTGGAAAATTTACTGAAGTAATGATTTTGCAAAGAGATTTTGAAATCGAATGATGTTAAATAGTTAGTCAAATAATTGGAAAGACCCCAATCTTAATTCATCTTTTCTGGCCAAATTACATTACGAGAAAATTTCTCTAATATGCCACCCGACTTTTAGACTCTTTTCAGGCAACTACAACATAATCTTCTTTAACATTCTGCTGAGAACTAATTGAGGAAGATATTAAATAATATTGCCACATGGGGTGGGAATTCAAATTAATCTACGGTTAATATTCTCCGAAGAAGACTCTAAGATTGGACAGTACAATATTTCTTAAGTCTTAACTTTGTCTATAAATATTAAATAGGGGTCTTTAGCGCATTCAACTCATCCCAATACAAGCAGTAGAGCTAAACATTGCAAGAATAATACTAGTTGTCTAATTGAGAAGATTTTGTTTCAATCCTTGATAATGACTCTTATGGTTCTTAACCATTTTACTGTTTTCACATATTTTACCCTTTTCTCTCTTCTGACTATTTCTTGCTTTTGCTTCAATCCTAAACGTCTCAACGTATCAAAAGTTAACTCGAATTCGGATTGGTCACCTGCTGGAGCTACTTGGTATGGAGAACCTAATGGTGCAGGAAGTGATGGTAAGTTACATACAGTATAATTTTCTAGTTACCCTAAATAACTAAGTACGAAAAAAAACTTAAAGGTACAGATCAGTTTAGTTATTAATTTTAATTACTGACCAAAACTGTTTTTGTTTTTCTATATTTTCTGTTGTGCAAAGGTGGAGCTTGTGGGTATACTAATGCAGTAGATCAACCGCCATTCTCCTCCCTAATAGCTGCTGGTGGACCTTCCCTTTTCAAGTCAGGCAAGGGCTGTGGAGCTTGTTTTCAGGTGCGACAAATTCAGCACTACAAAGGATTTAAATATCAATAAATTTATAGCAAGTTAGTTAAATTACATGCTATCAGGTGCTAACAATTACTTACATTTATTTTATTCCCTTTTCTTCACAAATAAAAATAGAAAAAGTATATTATTCACCACGTACACATGCATGTGAAGGCAAAGTAGAATTAATAAATTTTGGGTTGTGTAAATAAAAAAATGCAGGTAAAGTGCAAGGGAAATGCAGCATGCTCAGGAGAGGCAGTGAGGGTGGTGATAACAGATGAGTGTCCAGGAGGAGCATGTGTAGCAGAATCAGCTCATTTTGATTTGAGTGGCACTGCTTTTGGAGCCATGGCTCTTTCAGGACAAGCTGATCATTTGCGTAATGCTGGAGTTCTGCAGATTCTCTACAAAAGGTGAACTTTCATACACACTATTTCTCAATATAATATAAAATTGTGGGGACAAATGAGCTTAGTTCTAGACCTTCTTATGGTGTATATATATGGACAGAAAAGATGGCAGTCAGTTTGAAAGTAATTCAAGGACCTTGCTTCTTCGGCCCGAACCAAGGAAATCCCTTAAATATATATAAAACAAATCAGCTCCTATTCAATCCTTGAACAGAGATTTTCGATGAATATATATTAATCGGAGTTTGAAGGTGGAAGAAGGATACGCACCCCTTTTAAAAGAACATTAGTACTCACTTTTCAAATAGAGGTAGGTTATTTGATATTTTAAAATGCATAAAATTAGATACTATAAATAAAATAGCCTTGCATGTTGTTCTTAAACATTCCTAGTAATATGCCTTAATCATATCCGTTGCTAGTTAGTAGTAATTCTTATGTTATCTCAATTCCTATCATTTGTCATCAGAAATAATGAGAAGTTGATCTTGTTATAATTAACGGTACATGCAACAGAGTGGAGTGCAACTATCCCGGAGTATCACTGGCATTTCACGTAGACTCAGGTTCAAATCCCAACTATTTCGCAGCTCTAATCGAGTACGAAGATGGAGACGGAGACCTAAACAGAGTTGACCTGAAACAGGCCTTGGATTCAGATACATGGCAACCCATGCAACAGTCGTGGGGTGCAGTGTGGAAGCTCAATTCTGGCTCCTCCCTTGTGGCACCCTTCTCTCTCAAACTCATCGGAGAATCCGGCCAGACTGTGGTGGCCAACGGCGTCATTCCGGCTGGTTGGCAGCCCGGAAAAACTTACCGATCAGTTGTCAATTTTAAAGTCTAGCTTAATGTTAGACAATGTGCTGCTTTATCAGTTACTGCACAAGTCAATATGGTAGACTTTGTGTTATCAAATTATTATTAGGGTGACTAGTAGAATAAACTATAAAGTAGAAAGACACAAGAAAAATGTGGCTGTTGTGTATTTTTAATATTAATACCACGCCCTATTTATGGTTTAGGGAATAGTAGGTTCCCAAAGTACAGACTACCTTTTCCTAAATTATTACTTTATGAATATTGCTGAATATTAAGTATCTTCTTATCCAGCTTTATATAATCCATGTGTTGAACTTACTTATATATATGCTTGGTATATATGGTGGAAAATATTTAGGAAAATGATTTCCAATTTGTGGTTACCTTCAGATCTAAAAATTGTTTTTCAACAAAGTGGGGATGATCTTCCATACTTATGAACGAAATTTATTTTGTTTTACAAATATTTCAACTCGGGCTCAATCTCAATATTAATCTTTAATATCGAGAAACATCACGGAAACGTTATCTTACACTATATCCTACACCGTCCAATCGATCTACTATTTTACCCAATCAAACATTAAAAAACAATCATTATCCTTTCAATATCGAAAAAAGACTCTTAGGTTCAGAAGCCTGCCAAACAACTTTTAAGACGAACATTAATAACTTCGTACTAATACCAAAAAAATAAAGTAACAACTCTTGCTCTTACTTTTTAGACTATACTATTTTCTTTCTTTAAATAGTAATTTTCGTTCCTCGCTTTTTCTCTCTTTTATGTGTACTTGATCGTTAGAGTTTCACAACGGCTACTCTTCTTTTTCTTCATTTGTCAGGCAAACTTCCAATATGGTACACGGTAAGTTTTAACATGATTCTTCAATCTATGTATTTCTTTGTCTGATTCAATTGACAAAGAAAAACAACAAGCATTTGCATAGTGTTTTAATCTCTTATTCGTATTCGTGATATTGTGATTCAGATTGTAACTTTTTGTATCACCGGGTTGTCTGAAATTATAGTATATATTCGCATTAAAGAAATACTAAAACTGTTAACTTGAAAAGAGAATTGTATTATGGCTATAGTTGACTGGTCAGACGTAAAATCCAACGTGTATTATTATTTTCTAAAGTTATACTGGACATAATGAATTAATACTTGACATCAAAACAAAAGAAAGACGACCATGTGAAAAATAATTTCAAAATAAGACATTATGAATTAATTATTAAATAAGATATTTCAAATTAATTATTTTTATTTATTAGCCTTAGAATTTAAATTGACAACCTAAGCGGTTTGTTTCATACATTTACTTTAATCAAGACATTAGCAATGAGCTTACGTTTCGTTTGTTTAGCCACTGTGTCAAATTCACGGATTATGTTGTTTGGGGTTAAGTTAATCAACTTTTTTCAATGTTTTATTTGGAACAACTTTTAATTTGAAAATTATTATATTATTTTCCTATAGATTTAATATCACATCTAATGTAAATTTATTGTGTACTCTTCTAATAAGTTATTCGAATTACTCAATTTACACTATTGGTAATACTTCTGCTCTTTACCGATTAAATTGTTTTCAATATACTGACTGAAATAATAATAGCCACTGCCAGTAAAACATGCTAAAGTTTTTAAAATTGCTATAAATTGTTGTCTATTTCGAACAAAATTAATGTTAATAATCTAGAAAGTACATAACCTAATCTTATATTGTTACTATCATACTGTTTTTGTTTTGTCCATCTAATCATCTCTCGTTCCGTCAAAATGACAACCGAAATTAGAATCAAATTCCCGATATTGGATTGTCGCACCATAATTTTCCACATGGCCAACTTTACAGAACACTTTCACGAGAGATATTGTTGTTTTGTGACTTGAATTTTTTTCTTGTATTTTTAGGAAACCCATAATCCCTATAGATTTAGAAAAACCCATTGTCCTAATAGATTTGGGAAAGAAAAACTTATTGTCCTTGTCAAATTGGAAAACCTTTCTCTTTTAGGTTTGGGACTATTTGGGATCTATATATAGGGGTTGTAGTTGGGGATTCTAAAGATTGTATTGTGCTTTTCTTCTCATTCATAGTGAAAAACTCTCTATGCTTCTGCCCCGAGGATTAGGCTTAGCCGAACCTCGTTAAATCCTTATATTGATTTTTTCTCTATTTGCTTTGTGTGTGATTGTGTGCTAGTTATCCCGAGTGAGTGTCTCTCGACGCAACATAGGCTCTAGGTAATGGACTTGGAGGTCAAGAGAGCAAGGAAGAAGAGAGCGGTGTACGGCCAACCTAAGATCAAGCGGGGAGCCTTGACTAATGGAAAGGCTCAGGAGTTGGGGGAGAAACTGTTGGCTATGGGGGCCTGGAGGAGTAGTGGGGACGCGAGTAGTATGTGGACAACGACAATGAACTGCATTAGGGAAGCTGCTAGGGGGGTGGCCACATAGGGAACTGGTGATGAAATGGGGAAGTCCAAGGAAAAGTAGAAGCTAAGAAAGCGGCATTTTTTAAGCTAGTGGGGAGCACAGACGAGGAAGAGCGGAGGTCGTATAGGGAGTATTATAAGAAGGCAAGGAGAGAGGCGAAGCTCGCTATCACGGCGGCTAAGACTGCGGCTTTTGAAAGATTGTATGAGGATCTTGGGGGCAAAAGAGGAGATAGCAAGCTATACAAGTTAGCCAAGATTAGAGAGATGAAGGCTTAGGACCTGGATCGAGTGAGGTGCATCAAAGATGAAGATGGTAAGGTATTAGTATAAGAGGCGTGCATCAGGCGTAGATGGCAGGAGTACTTCCATAGACTCATAAACGAGGAAGGGGATAGGAACATCGTGATGGGCGAGTTGGAGAACGCAGAGAGTAGGAGAGATTTTGGATTTTGTAGGCGTATTAAGTGTGAGGAGGTTAATATGGCAATACGGAAGATGAGCAGGGGTAAGGCGACTGGGCCTGACGAGATCCCGGTGGAATTTGGAAAGTAGCGGGTAGGGTGGGCTTGGAGTGGCTTACTAGCATGTTTAACGTCATTTTCAAAACGAAGAAGATGCCCGAAGATTAGAGGTGGAGTTTGATGATTCCGTTGTACAAAAACAAAGGTGATATCCAGAACTGCAACAACTATAGGGGTATCAAGCTGCTGAGTTACACTTTGAAGGTTTGGGAGAGGGTGGTGGAGCAGAGAGTGAGGACAAGTATATCTATCTCTGTGAACCAGTTCGGATTTATGTCGGGACGGTCAACTACAGAAGCCATTCACCTTGTGAGACGATTGGTGGATCAGTATAAGGAGAGAAAAAATGACTTGCACGTGGTGTTTATTGACCTTGAGAAGGCTTATGACAAAGTCCCAAGGGAGGTGCTATGGAGATGTTTGGAGGTTAGCAGAGTCCCGGTAGCATACATTAGGGTGATTAAGGACATGTACGAAGGAGCTAAGACTCGGGTGAGGACTGTAGGAGGAGACTCAGAACATTTTCCTGTGGAGATGGGGTTGCATCAAGGATCAGGCCTTAGCCCGTTTTTGTTTGCCCTAGCATTGGATGTGTATGTTATTTGCTGACGACATAGTTCTGATTGACGAGATGCGAGGGAGTGTTAATGCTAGGTTGGAAGTTTGGAGACAAACGCTGGAGTCTAAAGGTTTCAAGTTGAGTAGGTCAAAAACTGAATACTTGGAGTACAAATTCAATGATGAGAGACATCAAGAAGAAGTTGAAGTAAAGATTGATACCCAACTCATTCCCACGAGAGATAGTTTCAAGTATCTTGGGTCTATAATCTAAGGCAACAGGAAGATTGATGAGTATGTTACCCACCATATTGGAGTGGGTTGGATGAGATAGAGGCTAGCTTCGGGGGTTTTATGCAATAAGAATGTGCCGCCTAGACTTAAGGAAAAATTCTACAGGGTGGTGGTTAGACCGGCTATGTTGTATGGAGCTGAGTGTTGGCCCGTCAAGAAGTCCCATGACCAGAAGATGAGTGTAGCTGAAATGAGGATGTTGAGATGGATGTGTGGACATACCAGGAAAGGCAAGATCAGGAATGAATTTATTAGAGACAAGGTGGGAGTGGCATCCGCGGAAGCCAAGTTATGGGAATCGAGACTGCGATGGTTTGGGCATGTGAGAAGAAGTGACATAGATGCCCCGGTCAGGAGGTGTGAGAGGTTGACCATGACTGGCTTGAAGAAGGGCAGAGGTAGGCCAAAAAGTATTGGGGAGAGGTGATTAGGCATGACATGTAACTGCTTCACCTAACCGGGGACATGACTAGCGATAGGAAGGTGTGTAGGTCGAGGATTAAGATGGTGGGTTGACAGGTAGTTGTGAGTTTCTCCTAGGTGTACCAGTAGTACCAGTAATATTCTTGTTGTTGGTTGAAAGTTACTTCCTTTCAGTTTGTTATTATATCTGGTGCTTAGCAACCACATCCATTGTTTTTGAAAATTGCTACTGGAAATTGTTGCTCCCTGATTGTTACTATTTGATGCTACTTTTTCTCCCTTTTATTGGAAATTGTTGCTCCCTGATTGTTACTATCTGAAGCTACTTTGTCTCCTTTTTTTCCTTATCGTCTTTTGTCTCCCTTGTCTTTCTTTGTCCCCCCTCTTTCTTTTTCTTCTTATTTTTTCCTTTTCTTCCTTAACACCTTATCTTGAGCCGAGGGTCTATCAAAAATAGCATATCTACCTCTCCGGGTAGGGGTAAGGTCTGCGTACACATTACCTTCCCCATACCCTATTTGTGGGTTTATACTGGGTATGTTGTTGTTGTTGATTTTTGTGTGCTAGTTAACCCACGATCTTTCGCAACAATTGGTATCAGAGCAAGGTTCGGGTTTCTACATATAATCTAGGGTTAAGATGTATTCATCATTTCAACAAAGTACGAAGTGGAGAAATTTGACAGGGGTTCTAGTTTCAGTCTATGGAAGATTAGGATGAAATCATCCTTGGTGTTACAAGGGTTATGAAAGACAATTGATGAGAATTTTCCTGAAGAGATGAAAGAGATAGAGAAGGCAGACCTGAAGAAGAGGGCTTTGATGCGATCTTCATAAGCGTTACAGATAGCGTTCTTCGGGAAATTGCTGAAGAAACTTTTATAGCAATGGCATGGAAGAAGCTGGAAGATTTGTATTTTAAGAAATCGCCGACAAACCGCATCTACCTGAAAATGAGGTTATACAATCTCCGTATGAACGAAGGCACACCTGTTAAAACTCACCTTGATGAGTTTAATTCAATTATAATGGACCTGGAGAACGTGGATATTAAAATTGAGAGTGAGGATGAGGCCTTGATTGTGTTATGTTCTTTACCACCGTCTTATGATACTTTTACCGATACGTTGCTATATGGAAAATATAATATTTTACTTGAAAATATTAGTAATACACTAAAATCTAAAGAGTTGAAAAGAGCTTTTCAGACACCAGAACTGAGGGTGAGGGTCTTGTGAGTAGAAGAAGTACGCAACAAAAGGACTTTAACAAGAAAAAGTCAACCGCCAGATCGAAGTCTGAGCAAGGAAGCAGAACTGTTATGAGTGCGGGGAGCAAGGTCACTACAAGAGAGATTGCCCCGAGCTGAAAGAGAAAAGAGGGAAGCAAAAAATAGATAATTTGGCAAATGTTGTTGACGCTGGCAATAATTCTGATGAATGTGATTATGTAAGGAAAGTCTGTGTCGTGAGTTCTAGTCATGGGCAGAATTCCAGGGTTCTTGATTTTGGTGCTACTTTTCACATGTGTCCACACAAGAATTAGTTTGTAACTTACAAGCAGATGAGTGGGACTGTCTACATGGGAGATAATAATCCATTACCAGTAGAGGGGATTGGTAACATCAGATTGAGAATGTTCGATGGAATTATCAGAAACATCAAGTGTTGTCATGTTCATCAGATAAAAGAAATTTGATTTCTCTTTCGACTTTGGATGATCAAGGGTATAAGTTTCACTCCGAGAATGGAATACTTAAAGTATGTAAAGGTTCCATGATACTCATGAAGGGTAAACTGCATTCTCAATTGTATCATCTTCAGGCCAGTGTAGTTGAAGGGGAAGCTGCTATAGCTTCTGGAAAAAGTGATCTAAATCAGTCTCAGTTGTGGCACTTGTGACTTGGTCATATAAGTGATAAGGGATTGTATTTTTAGAGTAAGCGAAATTTGCTGAATGGGTACAAAAATTAAGTTTTGAATTTTTGTGAGCAATGTGTGTTTGGTAAACAAACAAGGGTAATGTTTAGCAAGAAGGTCGAACACAAGACAAGAGACAAGTTAGATTATATACATTAAGACTTGTAGGGTCCAAATAGAGTTTCCTCCAAGAGTGGTGCCACGTATTTTATGACTTTAATTGATGATTACTCAAGGATGGTGTGGATGTATTTTCTGAAAATAAAAGATGAGGCATTTTCGATATTTGTTAAATGGAAGACGATGGTTGAGAGGCAGACAGAAAGAAAATTTAAGCGTCTTCAAACTAACAATGGGTTGGAATTTTGCAATTCTGAGTACAATAATTTCTACAGCAGAGAGGGCATAGTGAGACACCGCACTTGTATCAGAACACCACAATAAAATGGTATTGCAGAACGTATGAACATAATGCTTTGTGATACGACACAAATCATGCTTTCACATTCATGTGTTAGCAAGGATTTCTGGGCTGAAGCAATCAATACAACTTATTATTTGGTCAACAAATCTCCATTCACAACTATTGAGTTCAAAACTCCTTTTGAGGTATGGTCCGGTTCGCCTGCTGATTATTCAAATTTAAGGATATTTGGTTGTCCTGCTTATGCTCATGTGAGAGATGGAAAACTTGAGCCAAGGGTAAAGAAGTGCATATTTCTAGGGTATGCAACTGGAGTGAAATGTTATAGGTTGTGGTGCACAGATCAATTGACTCTAGGGCTAATTATCAGTAGAGATGTAACATTCATTGAATCTGCCTCACTGGACAGTCAGAGGGAGAAGGCAATAGCAGAAACAGATTGTGGTGCCAGTGACCGCATAGAACTAGAAATTAAATCTCTACTAGCTCAGCCCGGTAGTTCTAAAGTAGAGGAAGTGGAGGAGGTTCAAAATATTGATCAAGATGATAATTTTGATGCACCTGCGCAACATCAACCATATAGCATTGCAACAGGCAGAGAGAAGAGAGTGATCAACCGACCACAAAGGTTAGCAAACATAGTTGATAGGAATCTTCTTAGATATACGAATTTTGTGAGATTTGCTTTGGCTGGTGCAGAGACCGTTGATGCGTTTGAGTGTTATACCTATCCAGAAGCTATTTCGAGTACAGAACCAAATCGACGAATTAGTGTTATGGCTAAAGAGATTGAGTCTCTTAAGAAATTTAGGTGTTGCCTAGACTTGGTTTATGTGTGCGGCAATTGGTAGAGCCCTTGCGAGGGCTGAGGGCAAGGTAGAGAGATGTTGTTCTTGTTAATGAAGAGAATTCAAGCCAAGGGAAAGATTTGTTATTTTGTGGCTTGGATTATTTTCTTATATTTTTAGGAAACCCATAATCCTTATAGGTTTAAGAAAATCCATTGTTCTAATAGATTTGGGAAAGGAAACCTTATTGTCCTTGTCAAATTGAGAAATCTTTCTCTTATAGGTTTGAGACTATTTGTGATCTATATATAGGGGTTGTAATTGGAGATTCTAAAGATTATAGTGTGCTT